GCAGCAATGTACTGAAGAACTCGACAATTCCATTATCAGCGCTTTAAAGTTGTCGCTCAGCAAGGAGAGCGCAGATTGGAACGAAGTTTTGGATAAGTGGGCTAAAACTTTTTCAGCCAGGCAAAAAGACTTGAAGAACTTGGCAAGTTTCGACTTGTTAAAAGCCTGGCCGAAATTGGCCGATGCACGGGCACCTGAGCTGGTAAACAAATAAGCATATTGTATTTTAATGTAAGTANACAGCATGGCACCTTTTTTTAGCCGAAGTTATTTCCGTATTTATATACAGCATTTGATTTTCTACAGGATTTTTTACCCTGTTATCAAACACCGCACGTGGAACAAAAATTTTGAACTTCTACAAAGAAAACAACAGACTTGACAACATCAACATGGACGAAATAATAGCTATTTTAATCGAAGAAATATGTTACGGAAACATTTCTCCTAAACCAAGTGATTTTCATTCGCTGGTAAACGAAATTTGCTCCGTTTTTCCTAGTGAAGTAGATACAAAGGTGATTTCATGTTATATAAGAATATCAAATAAATTAGGGCACGGTTATAAGCAACATAAAGTTAAGTTTAAAATTAGAAGGTAACAAATGTCAAAAAGATTAATTTTAAAGTTAGCTTTATTGTGATTATAAGCATGGGCCATTACTTCTTGATAAAACAAATATTAAAATTTTCAGGAATATTACTATATTCCCCGAACTGGAAAAAAAAATCCGAGTGGAAAACTATTCTATAAATACGTGAACTGCCGCAAGGGCAAAAAAGGTCCCATAATATGCCTCACAATGAAGAAAACAATATGCAGCAATGTACTGAAGAACTCGACAATTCCATTATCAGCGCTTTAAAGTTGTAGCTCAGCAAGGAGAGCGCAGATTGGAAAGAAATTTTGGATAAGTGGGCTAAAACTTTTTCAGCCAGGCAAAAAGACTTGAAGAACTTGGCAAGTTTCGACTTGTTAAAAGCCTGGCCGAAATTGGCCGATGCACGGGCACCTGAGCTGGTAAACAAATAAGCATATTGTATTTTAATGTAAGTACTATTTGTTTTAAAAATTTCACTTTCTTTAGATTAAAATTGACTTCGATCTTTTGTACCCATTGAAGCAAGATTCTTTGCACTCTAAGTGGGACCACTTTAAAAGGAATATTGTGCGCTTTTATGAAACAAACATAAATGATGACAATTGTAAGCAGTTATTTTCGTTGGCAAAATCATTGACAAATAAAGGTAAAATTCTTATAATACGTACGTATGCTAAAGACTCATCTAATGCAAATTTTTGTTAGATTCCCAGGATTACTTACTCTTACACATCGGTATCAGTGATCGGACTTCTACCACATTGTGGTAGATCTGCCAGTTTTTTGAGCACCTACCACATCTAANTAAAGACTCATCTAATGCAAATTTTTGTTAGATTCCCAGGATTACTTACTCTTACACATCGGTATCAGTGATCGGACTTCTACCACATTGTGGTAGATCTGCCAGTTTTTTGAGCACCTACCACATCTAACACACAAGGTCTGAAATCTACCACATATTCGTGTTTTCGAGTAGTTTTAGTTTTGCTCGACAATTGTCCAACACTAAACACTAACAACAGGCAGAATGGGAGGATAAAATAAACTGTAAAATAGTAATTTTTCAATATTCAATTTTTGGACAGGAAACGTGGTTTTATTGTTTTAAATTGCAAAATATGTGATTTATAAAAAGAATTGATAGCGAAAATGTAAAAAAACGGTGATTTTTGTGAAAGTATTAGCAAATTTCATTGCATATAAAGTTTCTAAAGCGTTGTTTATGAGAATTATCAAAATCGGCAAATCCCAAGTAGCGGTTTCTGGAACGTGCCATATTTGTTCGCTACATCGTGATATTATAACAAGTAATTTTTAGCAAAAAAAAAACCGACTTCAACTCCCATATAAAAAAATATATATACAGTATATTTTGCTTAGCTGCACATCCTTCTTTGCACGAAAAACTTGTGCACTTAACCGAAAAAAGGCACTTAAGCGAATTTTCTTTACTACTTCAATGAGGAAGGTATCCAAATCCCTATGAAACCAAATAATAGTGAAGCACTTACCACGTAGAAATTACTGCAAGCGAAATTTTTACCGAATAGTATCTAATTATCTATACAACTACATAAATGTATAGCCATTTTCGTTGTTCTGCGAGATGAACAAAATAAATAACAAGTTGTAAAATTAGGTAATTGTAGGGCCAGTGCAGGTAAACGTAATACTTTCTTTGATAATTGATACTAGTCGCAGAATTTTTTAGGCAGGTATCGCCAATGTGCGGGTATGCTAAATGCATCTATCGGAGCAGTTTCCTTATAGATGTTAAAAAAAATGCGCCTGATACGCATTTTGGGGTAGGTATCTTAAATGTGCACTTAAGCTAGAGGCAGCAAAGCAAAATATACTGTATATATATATCTCATGATCCACTGATCGGATCTGAACCAGATTAGTATGGGACCACCTCTGAGACACTACCTTTCCGATGCTAAAAGAATTATCGAAATCGGTTGACGTGGTCCAAAGTTATGCGGTAACATACATAAAAAAAAAAAACAAAACAAAAAAAAATATTCCGACGAACTGATAACCTCCTCCTTTTTTGGAAGTCGGTTAAAAAGAAAAGCTGATTGCACTCCGCAAGGTTGCAGAAATCTTTCAAAACTCAACGCAATTCTATTTTGCACTTTATTATACTAAAATTATTTTTTTTAGATTCTAATTAAAATGTTTGCAATTTGGGTAAAACCGTGCAGAATTTTTTTAATTTTTGTAAAAAGTTTGATCGAAAACCTGAGATATACCACATTTTTTTGAAATCTACCACATTTTTTTCCAGATTCTACCACACTAATTTTTTTTGAAGTCCGATCACTGATCGGTATTACAAACATCTTCAAGGTTTACAAATAATTTGGGAAAACGCTCTAAAAAATTACAATCATTGACGCACATGAAAGTTTTATTTTGCGTATTGAGTCCATACGCATACCTTTCCTAATTGTAGTTGGATCTGTTAATGATCTAAACAGCTTTTTCATATACATGAAAATTAATTCAAGCGTGCGTTATATGGAGGAAAACAAATCACAAAAATCAAATCAAATCAAATTGAATGGGCTGAAAACTGCGTACTAAAAATTCCGTTAAAAAATGTATAATTTTGAAGAAAATTTTTTGAATTGTTCTAAATTTTGATTTTTGTTATAGTATGAACAATTTTTTTAATAAGAAATTTAAAAAAAATACGTGTTTTTTAAATTAAAATAAAAGAAAATTAAAAAAATATATAAATAACTTATTTTTATACTTGTGGAAATTATAAGCTTAGGGTTTTTAAATGTTAAATAAAGAGTGCTACATATTTAAACCAACATTGAAGGCGTGTTTGAAGCAACCTTGAAAAAAAGTGAAACCACCTACTTTTCAATGTTAAATTAACAACTCTATATTCTTAGGTCAACATTGGGAGTATTTAAATTGACAATAATCATTGTTAAAACAAAAACAAAGTCAGGTTTAAATCACTTTATTTTCGAAGTTGAATGAAAGATACGCATTTTTAAATCTACATTAATGCAATTTGAATTGAAAAGAAACAATCTTAAAATATCAACACTATTTTTCCACGTAAGAATTACATTTCCATAGTTGATTTGATATACTTCAGCTTTGGTAGACTATCATAGCTGTTTATTGTAGAATCAACCTCGTTATTGTAGCTTTTACCTTTGTTTTTTTCCTCAGTGTAGGAATAATTTTGGACATGTAGCCCCTTAGTTAAGTACGCTTTTTAGCACTTGAAAAAATGGATGTATTAACAGTGTTTGCAATTTCATGTAGACCAAAGGGAAGGTGTGCAGCAAAGTGAGTTTTTGGACTCGCCATGGCAAAGAGCCATGCAGAGTGCATATTTGTGGACGGTAGCCAACCACCATGAACTCCACAGCAGTTGACTCCACAGCTTTTATTTGATGACTTTTGTACCATTTCCGAGAGGATGCATGAGTGTGGCTTCTTTGGAAACAAATATTCTATGTAAGTAAAACATAATAAGCTGAACTTTTAAATGTATAATAATTTGGGCACTGTTTTGTATTAGGTACGTAACAGCGTGGTAAGATGCCGCTTGAATTAGCGCCTGGCAACCTTATCCACTGGTGCATTACCTCATACCAGCACTAAAAAGAATCAGGTACTAACA